ACTCCGACTCAAAAAAAAAAAAAAAATACATAATTTTAATATCAACTTATGAGATGCCAAACCTAAAAAGGAATATAATAAATGTGTCTTCTCAAAGACACACCAAACTGAATTATTTTCACATTTGTCACTTTATAGTGTGAATGTATTTAATATAATCCAGACATTTTCAAAACTTAGAAATGTTTTAGTATCTTATCTTGTTCTTATTTTTGTTCTTTGTACCAGTCTTTACAGACCCAAAACTTTAGTGTCTTCCTTTACGCTCTTTCAGGTGGGTGACTGGAAATAAACTGAGATGTACATGGCAGGAGTTTATTTAGGACACGCTGGGAAGTAAATATTGTATGTTGCTATGGTATTTTAACAAACCTGGGGCACCGTTTTCCTAAACAAGCTTGCCTTGGCATACTTGACCAAATTCCTAGACTCTGCCTAAGATATGACAATAAAAATTGAATATTGGTCCTCCTGTCTTTCTTCTCTTGTTAATACTAACACTATTTTACATCAATGGAGTAGTCAGATAATTGCTTTGGTATGTTTCATCATCCGTGTATCTGGTGAATTTTGTTTTAAAGAAAGTTTTAATTATTATGTACTCATATCTTCCTATAAATTACTAATTACGTTTATTTTTTGATATGCAAGGACTATAACCATTTGGGCTTTGACTGTTAAAATAACTTAGGAAATTAAAGAATCGAATGGAAGCTTGACAGACTCTTATTTATGTTCCTGTCTTCAGGAGGAATTGTATCTTAGCAACTAGCAAACTTGTATTTCCATAGAGAATGAATACAGTATTTTCACCAGTGTCATGTCTCTTAAATTTGAAAACTATGTATTGCAAATAAACGTTTCAAAGTAAATATTAGAATTCTCTTTTAATAAAATGTGTTCCATCAGCTTGCACAGGATGAAGGCAGCCATGTTGGTGGCTTTGCAGTGGTTGAATATAGCACTGCAGAGCATGCTGAAGAGGTTCAGCAAGCAGCAGACGGTCTGACCATCAGGGGAGGCAAAGTCCAGGTTTCCTTCTGTGCCCCGGGTGCGCCAGGGCGAAGTACGTTAGCAGCGCTGATTGCGGCTCAGCATGTGGTGAGCTTTTTTCTTTTCTTTTTTTTGCGGGGGATGTAGAAAATTCAAATACTTCTTTAAACTGTCCAGTCTATCCAAAGTAGTTGAATATAATATCATTAAACACTGAAGACTTTGTTTAAAAAAAAAAGTTGGCTAAGTGGTATCTTTGTCCAATGAAGCCTGAAGCCATCAGAAGGAAAGGAATTGTGTCTGGTAAAGTATATTTCTCTTGAGACTTTTTTTTGGAGCAAATATTTGAGCTCCTGTTCTATTCTGTTTGGAAGATGACAGACCTCTTCTTTCAAGAGGTTTTTCTGTGTGTCCACCAGTTGAGGAAGATGTGGGCCTGCCTTTTGCTTACTTGACACATTGCACTCTCTTCTTTCCGGCAATTGTCTGCTTATCCTTCTTTACTTTTCTAGCCTGAATGTTCCTTGGAGATAGAGACGGTGCCTTCTTCACTGTTTTTACCCTAATACTTAGCATAGTAATTATTTGTTAATTGGATAAAGGAAGGAATATACTTTGGAAGGAACCGGGGAAGATTTTATGATGAAGGTGACATTTGAGAATGACATTCAAGGAAGAATGAGACACTGACATGTGTTAATGGGGGTGGAGGATAGGATTGCCAAAGAAATACAGATTTTTCATGAGACATTCTTATACTAAAAACATTATTCATTGTTTGCCCGAACTCCAAATTTAACTGCACATACTGTGTTTTTACTCGATCCATCTGGCGGCCCTAAGGAGGGAGAGTGAGTACTCACTCCAGGTGGAACAAAATGGCTCACACAGTTGCATGCGCTGAATTTACTGGCAGAGAGAGAAGTGATCCGGGAGGACCGAGTGTACTCAGGAATGTTTGGCTGTAGGGTGAAGCCAAAGCAGGGAAGTCTACTGAGGGCTCAGCCAAGGGAGCTAACGTGAATTTGGTAAGCAGTGGGGCACTCAGAAAATACTTAAACAAAGCAGTGACAGGATTGGAGTTGAGTCAATGAGAGGTGAGTCTGAAAGTGGTTTGTAGATGAGCCAGGGAGAGGGGAGTGGGGCGGAGAGAGGAGGCGACAGGAGGTGGCTGCTAGTCCTCCCCTCCCACGTCTCCTGCCTCCTTCCCTTCCTCTTGACTTCGCCTTTGGTCCTGAACCCCTTCCTTCTCCCTTTTTTCTTAGTTGTCTGTCCCTCTTGGGGTCTTCGGTCATTCCTACATTCTTACTCGTGTGGTTTCCTACTTCAGGTGTTTATTCATGAGCCACCTCATTTTCTCCAGCTAACTTGGCTCTTTGCTGGATTAGATTTGCTGAGTTTCCAATTCTGACTCCATCCAGTCACGCACTCCTGAAGTCAGGGCACTGAGTCCTCTTGGAGAGGAACTAAGGACTGTGTGGCGTTTCGTTCCCACGAGCGAACGGCGTGTGTTTCCAGCTGGCCTCCCGCAGAGCTCCCACTGTCACTCATCAGCTCTTTTCCGCTTTCTACAGCAGCTCTCGAAAATCTGCACTCCATGCCTGTGTTTTTCTGATGATCCTAACTCCTGCTTTATAGAAATATGAAAGTTGTGTGTTAAACTCCTTCATGCATTCAACGATTCTCGTGTTCTACTACCCCAGCAAATGTGCCTCTGTTTTTTGCTTCCTTTTCTCTCCAGTAGCATTCATTCCTCAGGTACTTGTGGGGTGCCCACCACATGCTAGGCACTGTCAGAGATGTTTAGGATTCATCAGGAACAAGGCCAGGAATGATCCCTGCTCGCCTGAAGGAAGAGCGGTGCCTCCTCCTGCCAGGGGGGTGACTCATGACTACCCCCATCCTCAGCACCCTTGATCCTTCCCCTCCTGCTGATTTTCATGTGTTGTTCCACTAGCACTGCCCCATCCGTTATCAACACATTCAAGTCTTTTCCTTTAAAAAATCTTCTCTTGACATTGGCCTTTATGACCATGTGACCAGGGTTCCTTGGACAATTAGGCCCTAATCGTTGCCGCCATGTTTTCATCTTCTGTTTTCAGTCTAATATGGTGTGATTTCTGCCTCCATGACTCAGGAGACTCTGCTCTCAGTAAGATAAGCAGGGGTTTCTTAAGATTCAGATCTCGTAGGTACTTTTCAGTCTTTTATTGCTTGGTCTCTGTGACTTTTAAAACTCCCTACTCCCTTGATTCTGCTACAGCACTCTTTCTCCTACCTTCCTTGACTTCTTTTTTTCCCCACTAAGGGCTGGGATCTGTAGATGTCTGTATTTGGCCTTCTCACTTTCTTCCTCTTCTATACTCCGATTGCTCCAGTGGCCATTGAGGGTGACTTCTAAGCATGTATTTTCTGACCAAACTGCTCTAAGCGCTAAACGTATATTTCCAAGTGATGCACAGACATTCCCCTTTCTTGTTAGTTAGTTAGTTCAATGTTAGCATTTCTAAGAACATTATTTTTCTCTGGGCCTTGCCTTCCTATGTTCTGTAATATCTGTATACAGCATCTGTTCGTCCAAACTAAAACTGAGTGAACCAAAAACCCAGTTAATCATGATTAGTCTCCTTTACCTACTCCGTTCCCTAAATCTGAATGTCAGAAATAGTCACAAATCCTTTCAGTTCCACCTCTTGGTATCTCTCAAATAGTTAAGACCTTATCAGCATCTTTGTTACTCACTCAGGATCTCGTTTTCTCACCTCTGTAATTAGAATAATTCCCTCTGGGCCAGAGGTAGTGATTCCTGCCTGTAATCCCAGCACTTTGGGAGGCAAAGGCAAGAGGTTTGCCTCTGCCTAGGAGTTTGAGACCAGCCTAGACAACTTGGCGAGACCTCGTCTCTACAATAGATCAAAAAATTAGCCAGGCGTGGTCGTGTGTGCCTGTGTTTCCAGCTACTTGGAAGGCTGAGGTGGAAAGATCACTTGAGCGCAGCAGGTTGAGGCTGTGGTGGCCTTGAGCTTGCCACTGCACTCCAGCCTGGGTGACAAAGTGAGACTCCAAAGCAAAAACAAAACAAAAACAAATAAAAAAAGAATAATTTCCTCTGTAACCCCTATGTCATTAGTCTTTCCCCTTCTAATCCGTCTTCCACAGTGGACAAGAGTGATTTTTCTCATCCTCAAACTGGATTATGTCATTCTCTTGCTTAATATTCTTTAATGCCTGTGTAAGTTCAAATTCTTTAGCATGGCATACAGGGCCCTTCATGATCAGATGGCAATGATAGTGATAGTGAGGTCTTACTTTTTTCTCAGTCTTAAAAGTAGGGTATTCTACATAATGTTTTCTGTTGGGTTTTGGTTCATATTCTTTATCAAATTTTCTGAGATTTAAAAAAAATCATAAATAGGTACCGAATTTCATCAGGCTATTTCTACAACTGTTGAGATAATCGTGTGATTTCTCCTTAACTTCATTAATGTGGCAAGTCACATTAATAGATTTTCTAATGTTAAACCACCTTGTGTTGTAAATCCTAATTGATAGTGACTTTTTTCCAAGGCATTGTTTGATTTGATTAGATAATACTTTTTTAAATACATATGCAGACATGCCCATAAGTCGAAGGTGCTTAATGTTTTTGGTATCATTCTGACTTAATTTGGGGGTCAAGATAACACTAACCTTGTCAAATGATTTCAGTATTCCTGCCCCTTTCTTTTATTTCATGGATCAACTTGTATAAAATATAGGGGTTATCTGTTCTTTGAGAGTTTGAGAGGTCTCATGTATAAAAATCACTTGGACCTGGCTTTGTGCCTCTTCCAGAGGGAAATCATTGATTACCACATAAGTTTTTGTATGGCTATTTGGATATAGTTTTTTCTTTCCATGCCATGTTTGACATTTGATCATAATCTACAATTCCATGCCATGTTTGACATTTGATTATAATCTACAAATTTATCCATTTTGCCTAAGTTTTCAAACTGATTGACACATATATGTATACAGTATTTTATTTTTAGAATATCATGCTTAATGTCCATATTTTCATTTTGTCTTTTATTTATTTTTATTTTATTTTTTTTTGTCCCTGATCAGTCATACAAAAGATTGGTCTTTTTGTCTTTCAAAGTAACAGGCATTCTTTTATTCATCATTTATATTTTTTCTTATTTGCTTATTTTTGCCCTTATCTTTATTATTTCTTTTTTCTTTGAATTTACTTTTTTTCCCCCATCCTTTTGGGGTGGGGGATGGGGAACAAGTACAATACTTTTCCCATCTTTTTTTTTATTGGAGTCTCGCTCTGTCACCAAGGCTGGGACTATAGGCACGCACCACCACATTTGGCTAATTTTTTTGTTTTATTGTAAAGATGAGGTCTTGTCATGTTGCCCAGGCTGGTCTTGAATTCCTGGGCTCAGCCAGTACTCTTGCCTCTGCCTCCCAAAGTGCTGGGATTTATTGGTGCAAGTCACTGTACCCAGCCTCTTTTTTCTATCTTTATTGATGTCAATGCCTAACTCTTTTGTTTTCAGTCTTGATTGTTTTCTGATAAATGTATTTAAAAAGTAAGTTTCCTTCTGACTAGTGCTATACCTATGTGTGATAAGTTATAAATGTTTCAATTTTTCTTGGGATTTCCTTTTAAACACAAAGATTAATGTATATTTTTGCAGTTTACAGTCACTATGAAATTTTAAAAAGTGATTCTTTTGTTATATATTTTTAATTTTATTGTATTATAAAGAACTTCATCTTCAATGTTGATTTGGAGAGGAGGGAATATTGTGGCTTCTTTTGTGTCTTGGTGTATGCTTGATTTCTACAAATATGCCATGTATGCTCAAAAGCAATCTATACTCTGTGCCTGTGGATTATAAAGTTATGTGTACTATACATAGATGTGTATATAAATATTAGTTTGAGCTTATTAACTATTATTTCAGCCTCCTATATCTTTGCTCCTTTTTAATCTGCTTAATCTGTCAGTGTCTGAGAGGAATACATTAGAAGTTTCTATGTGTAATTGTTGATTTTTCTATTTCTTCTTTTGTCAGTTGTTACTACATATATATATAAATGTACATGCATATATATAAATATATTTGTGGAGACAGTAATAATTAGGTACGGATTTGTTTATAATCATGTTCATTATTTTACCAGTATTTGTGTTTTTCACCTTGAAAAATTTTTTTTATTGTTGGAATGGCTGCCTTGACTTTCTTTTGGATTATATTTGCCATCCTTTTATTATCAACCTTTCTGTGTATTTTGTTTCAGGTGTGTGTTCTTGTGTTTTGTTTTACCTTTTTAAAACAACCAAATATAACAGTCCCTGTCTTTAATAGGTGCATTTAAGATACTTATAAAAGCCGGGCTCTGTGGCTCAGCCTGTAATCCCGTGCCTTTGGGAAGCTGAGGTGAGTGGATTGCCTGAGCCCGCGGGTTTGAGACCCGCCTGGGCAGCGAGACCTCATCTCTACAATTAATCAAAAAATCAGCCGGGCATGGTAGCGCATGCCTATAATTCCGGCTACTTGGAAGACTGAGGTGGAAGGATCGCCGGAGCCCAGCAGGTCGAGGCTGTGGTGGCCGGGAGCGGCCACGGCACTCCAGTCTGGGCGACAGAGTGAGACTCCAACTCAGAAAAAAAAAAAAAAAAAAAGATACTTATATGTGTATTGATTATTGTTCTGTTAGAACCATTTTTGACTCTTTATTTCATGTTTAACTATACTGTTTCCCTTTATTTTCATTTTATCTACTATTAGGTAGATAAGAATTTTCTTCTTCTGGTTTGAGAGTAACACACTCAGTCTTTATCCTACTGGTGGTTGTCCCTAACTTATTAATACACCTAGATTTATCAGTTCCTCTGTCTTCTCACTTAATTCATTCTCACTTCCATTCACTTCTTCCTTTCCTACCTACCACCAAATTGGTGCTTACATTTTTACTTTAGAATTGCCTTAATTTTTTTTGTTTTTGTTTTTATGATTGTGACTTCATATACATGATTAAAATTATGATATCCTATACCTTAATTTCCACATACCATGTAATAACATCTTGCATTTATTTCTTTTCTCACTGGAGTGCTTCCTCCTAGCGCATTTTGAAAGAGGGTGTTTACATGGTAAGAAAAACTTTTGAGAACTCATATAGTTGGGAATCCTTTATTTCCTTCTGATGTTTAAATAACTTGGGTGACTCAAAGAAATCTAGGTTCAAAGTTCTTTTCTTGCAACACTTTGAAAATATTAATCCATTGTTTTCTGGAATCTAGAGTTGATGCTTTGAGAAAGAAGGTATTAATTTGTTTCTTGTTCCTTTGGAGATATGTTCTTTCTCACTGGAGGCTTCTGGCAATAGCGGTTTTTTTTTTTTCTTTGATGTTCTTAAATTTCACACCAAAAAATGTGATGAGGTGTGTTTTCTCTTTAGAAATTATATTTGGAAAACTGTGGACGCTTTCATTCTGTAGCCTTTAATTTTTCTTTAATAACAGGCAATTTCTCAGCCATTCCTTCTTCAAAGGTTCCCTTCTTATTTTCTTCTCTTTTAGGGACTCCTAATATAGGTGCCGACACTTCCACAACTTGTTTTCTTCATCGCCTTGCTTCTGTTTGTTTGGCTTTTCCATTTCCTTCACTGAATCTTTCAGAACTCTGTTTTGCTTTTTAGTCGCATGTATGTTACTATTTAATCTATCTGTGAAAGCATAGGATAAAGGTCAAGAATAATGCTTTATGAGTAAGTGAGGGCTGCTAGTATTTTTCTCGACATTCAATGTTTTCATACCTGGTGCTTCTCACTGGTTATTCTTTATCATGGCTTGTCTTTGCTTCACGTTACTGATAATAATTCATTACCTTTTTGAGAATGTCAGTTATGTTCATTTGACATTCTTATTGTTTCCTACTCACCAATCCTGCTTTCTTTCTTACAAGTGGTTCAGATTATTGCATTTATTTTTTAGTGACTACATTTCCCAGATGGCTAGCTATTTCTTTTGCATGAATATATGTTTCCCGTGGGGGTTGGTTTCAGCTTCCTGTGTGTCACTGTTTAGAGATTGGGGTGGAGGAAGGACGGGGAGAGCTGACGCCTGGTCTTAGCTAGGCCTAGGGAAGGCAGACAAGGACCTCAGGGCAGGGAGGCTCTGCCTCTACCATCTGGGCTTGGCCATGGCGGCGCTCTTCCCACCCCAGCTAGGCAGCCCTGCCACTGTGAGATCCTCTCTTTGTCTCCACTCCCAACCCTGCTTTCTTCTGAGTTCTACCTTCCTCAGTGATAGCTCCTCTCCCTTGCACCGTGGGTGTGGTAAGGACCACCTCGGAAGGCTGGGGGAGGTGGGAGGGAGGTTTTCAGTGACCAGGTGGTCTGCCTGCACCTAATGTTATCTGGTTCCCATCGCCTCTGCGCCTTCGTGCCACCCTGCTATAAACTCATTGGCCCTAGAACTGTCACTGAGCCCGTGCGCTGCTGTCTCTCCTTGCTGTGCTTGTCCAGGAAAGCCCTGCTCTCCCAAAGGCGGTATGGAAGAAGCACAGTAGTCACACACCCAAAAGCTCTTCCTGGAATTTTCCTGTGTCCGGATCCAGACTTTCTCTTGCTCCCTGCTGATGCTCGCCTTCACACCTTCTGTCTCCCCAGGGGTTTCTCCCAGGGTTTGTGTCAGTTTCTCAGATCTGTCACCCTCTCCCTTTAAATCTCACTACCTGGGTTAGGCGAGGAATCCAGTTGTCCTTGTCAGTTCTCCATTTTCTCATGGCTAGTTGTAGCTTTCTTTTTATGTCATCATATTATCTTAACATCCCTATCTGTCAGGGTGGTTTTTAAAACTGAAAACAGTGTCATTTTGGGGAAGCGATCCAGTGACACGGTCAGAAGGCAGGTTCATTTTAGTCCCATATTAAAGGGTTAAGTTAATGAAATTAAGACCTTTATTATGAGAAAACGTTGATTTGTAAGGCAACCCATGTTACTAAACTTTAGATTAACGTTATAATAAGTCTCTTCTATGGTATCAAAGTATTTATATTGTGTCAGCAAGTTATCTCCTTGGTGACAACTTCAAATTCCCTTGCTACCTTATATTCTATGAAGAGACTTTTCATAATAAATTGTCAGTCTTTTTAAAGTCAATTGGTATTTGAGACATTCTTTGAGGATTTCATGCCATATGTATGGTAGAACATCTAACCTTATAATTGAGAACTGTAGTAGAAATTATACAACACTATATAAATCAAGTTGTTTATTATAAAATAGAGCTTATCAGGTGAATGAAAATTTCTAGAAGAAAGTCTTTAAAATTACATCTTTTGTCTTTACGCATGCTCTTAATATTTTTTATTTTTATATTCATTAAAGATGCACAGTAATCAAAAGGGCTTACTTCCAGAACCAAATCCAGTACAAATTATGAAAAGTTTAAACAACCCTGCCATGTTACAAGTTCTTCTACAACCCCAGCTATGTGGACGAGCTGTGAAACCAGGTAAGCATTGTCCTATTGATTAAACATAGACTGTCATCATGAAATGTTTTTTCACATGTGAAATGAGAAATACACTTACTCATGAAAAAATCATATTTTAATCAGTCTAGACATATTTAATTTTTCTAGGAACTGCTAATGAATTTTAATCAGTAATCTGAGGTGATAGTGTATTTTGATTGTTTTGGGTAGGCACAACCTGTTTATATGCATATATATATGTATATATATATTACTATTAATGAATGTTAAATATCATACCTTCCGTTTAGTTCTTAGTTGACATGAATTTATAGACCAGGTAATAATTAGCACACCATGGTTTTTATAACCTATATCAACAAAGGATATGATACGTATTGATAGAATATTTTTTGCAGAATTGTTTTGCTAAGAAGTGCTAAAGGTTTGTTTCCTTTTTGTTCTTTTTTGTTGTAAAATTGTTTTACTTTGTAGCAAATGACAAAAGCATTATTTTCTAAGTATTATGCAAATCATCAGAGTATCAGTATCATCATATATCTGCCTATTTAGTGGTCTTTCTCTGGTAAGAGCCTACCTTCTGAAACACACAACTTTACAGGCACAAAAGTGCCTATTTTGGCTTTATGAGGAAATGAATGCCTGTACCACAGTCCTGCCTTATCTGCAGTTTTGCTTTCCATGGTTTCTGTTAGCCATAGTCTGAAAATATCAAGTAGAAAATCCCAGGAATAAACAGCTCATTTGTGCACCACTTTGAGTAGCAGATGAAGTCTTGTGCTATCTTGCTCCATCCTGCCTGGGCCATGAATCATCCCTTTGTCCGGTGTATCTACTCTGTGTACATTACCCACCTGTTAATCACCTAGTAGCCATCTCAGTATCAGATCAGTTGTCATGGCATTACTGTGCTGGTGTTCGGGCAACCCTTATTGTCCTTAATAATGGCCCCAAAGCACAAGAATGGTGATGCTGGCAATTTGGATATGCCAAAGAGAAGCTGCAAAGTGCTTCCTTTAAGTCAAAAGGCAAAAAAGGAGCTCTCAACTTAGTAAGGAAAGAAAAAAAATGTATGCTAAGATTGCTATGATTTATGGTAAGGGTGACTCTTTTATCTATGAAATTATGAAGAAGGAAAAAGAAATCTATGCATAGTACATATAAGGTTTGGTGCTATCTGTGGTTTCAGGTATTCTCTGGAGGTCTTGGAAAATGTTTCCTGCTGATAAGAGGGGAGACTACTGTATTCAACACGAAGGTTTAGAGTAAATGTGTTTAGAGTCAATATATTAAATATATTCATTCTGTTTCAATCCCAACTGGTCTAACACCAACTCATGTCTGCAGTTTGTTTCTAAGCACTACCTGGAGTTAGTACAGACCGCACCTTTTAAGAGCTCAATCTCCATATGAGTGTCCCCACTTGAGACCCCAGCCAAAAGCTCAGGGGGTCCCCAGGCCACTTGCCCTTCTGACCAACTGGCTATAAATTTGGGAGTTCTCACCACCACTTAGGTTCGATAATTCACTAAAATGACTCACAGAATCCTGGAAAGCACCATACTTGTGAGTACAGTTTCATTATAAAGACTTTAACTCAGGCATAGCCAAAGGAAGGGACCCTTAGTGCAAGGTCTTAGAGGGTCTCAAATGCTGAACTTCTGTGCCTTCTCCCTATCAAATCAAGCCATATCACCCTCACAGCTCATCAGTGGACCCCTACTGAACCTTGATGTCCATTCTCTAGTAGATATGATTGATTGGCCCACTGATTGAACTGAATTTCCAGTCCCCTCCTACTCTCTTGAGATTGGGAGGTCAGACTGGTATCACATGGTACAGAGCCCACTCTCTACTCAAGTAGTTTATCTTTTGTCATGTCCACATGGCTGGCCCCTATTCTGATGCTAGCCATGAGTCTCCTCATTAGTACATTAAAGATTTCTAGTCTCTTTCCCAGGAACCAGGGATAATAGCCAGTCAAATTATTTCTTATTCAACAATATTCATATTAAACACTTAATATAATCAATTATTTGCGTGTGAGAAGCAGCTTTAGAGATTTCTTTGGCTCAGCCGATTATGCAATCAGATATCTCTTCGACAGTATTAATGATACAGACATATCCTTTTTTTATCTTGAACACACGAAGGATTAGAAGCTTATTTTTTCCTAAGGCAACCTATTTCCTTACTTGACAATTTTAATTATGAAAAAGTTTTTATATTAGGTGGTAATCCCTGTAATTTTTAGCCATTTATTCTCGCTCTCCCTTGGAAGAAATAGAGAATAAACCTATTTCTTCTTTCATAAGAAAAACCTCCTAATATTTGAAGGCAACTATTATGAAACCTCAGTCATTTTTGGTTTTCCCGGAGTTCTGTTCTCCAGACCAGAGAGGCAAAAAAAAGCTCTCAGCTTAGTAAGGAAAGAAAAAAATGTATGCTTAGATTGCTATGGCCTATAGTAAGGATGAATCTCCTATCTTTTTTTTTTTTGGACTATGCAATCTTAGCCTCCTACTATTTGAAGGCAACTGTTATGAAGCCTTAGTCATTTTTGGTTTTCCCTGTGTTCTCCAGACTGGTACTCTTTTTTTTTGGACTATGCGATCTTATCAGTAAAATATGCTTTGGGCAGAGCCCCTATTTATGAATATATCTATATGTATTATATATCAGATAAATAAATGAACCATTGTCAATCCATATTACGGAATGATTAGGCTAAATATTTCCTTTTTTAAGTTGAACATGAGCATAAATATGAATTGTTTTTTTCTCCTACAATTCTTTTTTTTTTTTTTTGAGTTGGAGTCTCTCTCCGTCACCCAGACTGAAGTGCAGTGGCTGCTCCCAGCCACCGCAGTCTCGACCTGCAGGGCTCCAGCGATCCTTCCGCGTCAGCCTTCCGAGTAGCTGGAACTACAGGCGCGTGCTACCACACCCGGCTCATTTTGATTTATTGTAGAGATGAGGTCTTGCCAAATTGCCCAGGCAGGTCTCGAACCCGCAGGCTCAGGCAATCCACTCACCTCAGCCTCCCAAAGGCGCCGGATTACAGGCTGAGCCACCAAGCCCAGCTTCTCCTACAATTCTTTTGTACTTCTTTCACCTCTTTGGAGGTTGTATTTCTATATGTGAAATGTTATGGAAATATTATTTCCATAACATGTCGCAGGACATGCACTTTAAATACTCTACAAGTTGTTCTCCTGTGGATATAGTCTAGACGTTCTGGGTTGTCCCAGAATAGGATGTGCACAGATACAGACATATCTTGTAATGGGTTCTGATCAGTACAGAGTGTAGTCGGATCTCCTTCCTATTATCACTATGTTTCTCTCAGTGCCATCCAAGATTGTATTAGTGTTTAAAGAAGTATACTATACTCTTAGGACTTTTAGAATGTTTTGTCTGCACTTTGAGACTCGGCTATTTTTAATAATTCCTCCCCAGTATTATTTTTGTCTTTTTATGTAAGACTAAATATTCTTCACTCTGCTGTTCTACTCAGATTAATATATGACCTTAAGGGAATATGCTTGTTTATTGTTTAGTACTTTCTCAGTTTTAAGTAACATATTCAGTATTACACTGGTGCAGAAATGATTTCACCAAGCATGTCCTTTCCTTTTGTGTGGGTCAGCAAGGGAAAAAGACTAAATCCCTGCTTCACTTGAGTACATGTGAAGCTGAAGAATGTGGACAGTTTCTTGCTGTTGAGGAAAGATAAAGTGTCTTGTTAATCAGTAAATGTTGTTTGTTTTTCTTTAGTGTATTCTTTACTATATCTTAACTGTATCCTAAATTTCTCACAGAGGTCTTCTCTAAGCAAACTAAAATGAAAAAGAATTATAATTCTTACACCCTTGCCCTCTTTCTTTCTCATTGTATCTCTCTTTATTTATTTATTTTTTTGAGTCGGGATCTCACTGTGTAACCCATACTGGAGTGCAGTAGCATGAACCCACCCACCATCACGGCTCACGGCAGCCTCGACCTCTTGGGCTCAGGGGATCTTGCCATCTCAGCATTAGGCTCCCACCACTATGCCTGGCTACTTTTTTTTTTTTTTTGGTAGAGATGAGATTTTGCTCTGTTGCCCAGGCTGGTCTCAAACTCCTATACTCAAGCAATCCTCCCACCTTAGCTTCCCCAAATGCTGGGATTACAGGCATGAGCCACTGAGCCTGTATCATTTTTCAAATAGCTGACATATATTATAAATTTACTTGTTCATTGTCTATTTCTCCTGTTAGCAAGGATTTTTTCTGTTTTGTTCATTACGAGCAACTAAAACAAAACTGTTATTTATGGTTAGAGACACTCAACTATTTGTTTACTGGTTACATCCCCTCCTTTACATGTCTGTCCTACAACTTATGTATGCCTTGTCTCACATATGGTCTAATCTGTAAATTCCTACTTTTCTTGTCTCCCAACCTGATCTTTTCTCTTCAATTCAGATCTTTTAACTACCTTCAAAAGTACAATATAATATAATTATTCTAAATTTCTTTCTGTGTGTATTACAAATTTAGCTATTGTGTAATCACTTATAGTCTAAACTGTTTTGAGTCAGAGTCTCACTCTGTTGCCTAAGCTGGAGTGCAGTGGCATACTGCTCTTGGCCACTGCAGCCTCAACCTGCCTCAGCCTTCCAAGTAGCTGGAACTACAGGCATGCACCACCATGCCCAGCTAATAAACTATATATATATATTTTTTGAGTTGGAGCCTCACTCTTGTTATCCAGGCTGGAGTGCAACAGCATGCTCACAGCCACTGCTGCCTTGACCTGCTAGACTTAGGCGATCCTTCTGCCTCAGCCTTCCAAGTAGCTGGAACTACAGATGCACGCCACCATGCCTGGCTAGTTTTTTTGTGTGTGTGTGATTTATTGCAGAGATGAGGTCTCACCAAGTTGCCCAGGCTGGTCTTGAACCCCCAGGCTCAACCAGTCCTCTCGCCTCAGCCTCCCAAAGTGCTGTGATTACAGGCTGAGCCACTGAGCCT